CGGCAGCGGCGCTCATCAACCCAGCGTTCTGCCGCAGATCTCCAAAAGCCGTCCTCTGCGGCGCCGGGGGCGATCCGCTGGGATCCGCTCCGCGCCTGGACCTTGGCTAAGGGCTTGCAGGTCTTCTCATCCAGCCCCACAGGGTGGCCCTGGTCCCCTGGTTGTGTGAGGTGCTTCACAGCCACCAGCTCAAGATCTGGCAAAGGTGACTCAAACCCTGCAGCCTGCTAAAATGGATTAAAACGGAGTTTTCGGCATCTGAACGCAAGAGGAATCTTCCAAAGGAGGTCTAAACCCATCTGCTGCGAGTGGGCTCTCCAGCTCCAATCTTTCCAGTGCTGCCCAGTCTTCTGGCTGGCCAAAGCCACGGCAGCAGAGCCTGCCTGTGAGTAACACGGGAACCGAGTCCCCTCCGCGCCTACTTGGTAAAACACCGAAGAACGGGAGTTTAGAGAAACATGAAGTACTATTTGGGGCTCTCCTGGATATGACATCCCCAAACTGCACCATCACATTATGCAAAAGCATAATTACCCTCCAGATTCAGCAGACTCAGTCAGCGAGCTGAGAAGGGTGTCTTTCCTTAAGATTGCAGCACGGCTCGGTGGCATGGGGGCCAGCCACCACTCGAAGGCCCACCTCTGGGCATCACACCATGAACATGTCCCCAAGCACTGGAGTAGGCTGAGGACTCGCAGCAGATCAGCTCCTCCCGGTAAGTGACGCAGGTATGGTCTTACCTAGTCAACGCGAGGTATCTCGCCCCGCTTTCATTAGGCTCCAGTCTCTCCCTCACAACCCAAAGCTTTATCTCCACCACACCACCAGCTGAACGGAGCAGGATCCCCTCTACAAGGCTCTCTTACAGCTACAATCCCTGGCTCGAGATCTCAGCCAATGACTCTGTTCTCCTGAACAACAAGAGGAGCTTCTGCTTTCAGTATTAGGACACACACGAAATGTGGTAGTACTTTGGGGACTTTCTGGAGCCACCAGTTTTCTCCACAAATAATGAATCCCAGCAATCATGTGCCTGTTGAGATGAGGAATCAGAAATGGCTGTGACAGCATTCCAGCCCTTCAAACACTACCATAAAAGGCAGGGATTTCCTCAAATCTAAATTTACAAGATGGGAACCTATAAACAAAGCGTGCGAATTCAGTTCAGGTAACGGGATTTGCAGCAGTTGCTGTGCCTTAACGATGCTCTCCTTTTTCATTATGGAGCACCCCTATTTTTTTAACTGATACAACAGTTAATTTTGTTTTCAAATCAAGTTAATTACGGCTGCTGGTATATAAGGCCAAGATCTCTCCAAACAACAACCGCGCAGCTCTGTCCAGGCGCTCCTCTTAAAGCACTTCGCCTCTGAACCGCAGAGCCACTCTGGCAACCAGAACGAGATGCTCAGCTGCAGGACTCAAGTGATGCCCACCTTGCAGAGGAGACTGCCATGTGAGCATCGCTACTAGCTGTGACAATGCATCTTCCATGGAGACACAAGATGGCTCAGACTTGTAGCTGCATCAGCACCCAGCCTTTTACAGCTCACACTATCTCACCCTTCCTACAGGTAAGGAGACATGAGAAACATCTCCAGCCGCAGCAGGTGGGAGACACGCTGGGAGATGTGCAACCTGCATTGCAGGAAGTTAAAAAGAGGCCAACATTTCTGAGCTACGCACAAGCATCTTGCTATGGCCAAAAGCTACCAGTAACCCAATGGGTGCCTTCGTGGGGCAGGAGGGGACAGGAAGTCCAGGGGGAAGGCACAGGCAGGCGGCAAGAGCTGGCCAGGGAAGACCCCAGACTGGAGACAGGATGTGTCCAAGGACTCAGTACACATCCATGCCCTACCTGTGAATCAAGATGATGACCTGCCTTCCTCCATAATTATGTGCCTTGATTTAGTAAAGGCTGCCAACTGATCCCTTTGGACTCCTCTACACCTTCAGCCACAGAGGGAAACAATCAACACAAACAAACAAACCAGTAAAAAATATCCCCCTCTCTCCCTTCTCTTCTTCTTTTAAAACTTAAGCTTCTAAACCCTCGATTTGCTCCAAGAGGTTTTCTGTGGTTATGTTCCTGACTCACAGCCAAGATCAGGAGGCCAGTGACGACTACAGATACCCAAAGTCCATCTCATCTTCATTTCCAGACTTCACTGTTGAAGGGGGGGGGAGGAGAAACGTAATATAAACAAATAGAAGATAATGTGCCAGACACACTCCCCCTTGGGAGACCATCACTCTCTTCCCACGTTAGGTGGGGCTTTTGCTGCATTGTTTCAGGCTAGAAATCTTGCCTTGCACGCAGCCTTATACACACACAGGCACGCCGAGCAGACGCAGGAGACAGACTCAGCCCGGACGAAGCAGAACAAAGGTTTCCAGGCTCCTCTGTCCACCTATTTGAGGCGCTCCCTCAAATGCCATACACGTGTTTACACAGTATGTAGTATTTATGGTCAGAAGCAACGCACCAGCAGTCAGAGGATAAAGATTAAATTAAACAAAACCCCCCTACTCCAACGCGTAAATAATTCTCTTTTTTTCGGTGAGCTGCTCAAAATGGAGCGGAGACGCGAGCAGCAGCCCGGGCCACCGGCTGCTGATGCGACAGTTCTGGGCTCCTTATTGAAACCATCTGGAAGCGCTGAGCCGCTCTGTGCAGACAGGAGTTTGAAACTATCCAATCGTTTCATATCCAAACCAAAGTCCAGCGCTGCGGATTTCAAGGGAAGGAAAGGGGGAGGGGGGAGGAAGGCACTTGATCGCACCATATGATCTGTAACTCATCCAGCTAAAACTCCTCCTCCCCTACCCGCTAATAGACCTCTTAATGACAAGGAAATCATGGTTATTCTGAAACAGACTGCACTATTGTTATCTGTTTCAAATTACTTTTGCCATATCGTTATGAAACACTAAAAATGATGCAATCTGCAGAAATACTCAGGCGTATCAACTTTTTAAACTGCTGTTCTGATAGGAACTAATGGAGCAGTAGATGAAAGGAAAACATTCTCCCTGTTTTAAACAAGTCAAAACCCACTTTTGGGCACGGAACACAGGAGATAATAAACTCGTCAGACAGTCAGAGAGAAGAATTACCATTTCAATTGCTCTTTTCTTAAAAGAAATCAGCTTTTTGGAAAGGGTTTTTCAAATTCTACATTTCTGGCACTTGCAAGGACAGACAAAACAAACCCCTTTTTTTCTAAAACTAAATAAGGCAAAGGAAATCTGCACTCTAATACTGCAAAGCCTGTACCAGGAGCGCGTCCAGTCTGGAAGGGAGCGCACATCCATCGTGTCTGCCGGGAGGCAGGTCAGCCGCCGCGCGAGAGGAGACCGAGACGGATGCTCGAATGTGGATTTTGAGGAAGACCAGGCAGTTGCTGAATGCTGGCGAGTACTCGCGCCACAAACCTTGGTAAA